CGTGTTTACATAATTCACACCTTATTCTACAAGTGCAATTAAAACTAAGATGCCATGGGTGTAAACAGCCATAACATATTATTTTCGCTTTGCATTTCTCCCTTTTTTTCTCAGTAGACCATAAAGATGCTTGTTTACACGTTATAGACTCGTGATCAGAAGAGTCGCAGAAAAAAACACATGGTGTTTGTCCCCCCCCCCCCCCCGCAAACTTGCGTTCGTCAACTCCGAAGCTGTGTGTTTCGCAATAGGTCTGGTTTCACTCAGTTTGTTATGCTTTTGCGGCGCCGCCTTCGGCTGGGGACCGTCTGGAATGTACGTTCCTGCGCAACTAACTGTTCAGAAAGAAATTCCACTAGGTGATTCAAATCGTAATTTGATTTCCAAACTGTTTTATTATATTCCAAAACCAAATCTGCCTTCAATGTTTTAAGCAAAATAGGCATTAATAAAGCTCCATATGTTTCTGAGGTCATATTTAATGATTCAAGACATCGAATATGTTTCTGTATATAATTGAATAACTTACGGAAATTTTGAATGTCATTAGAATCCTTTAGAGTTATTTTCAGTAATTTATCTATATGGGCGTTGATCAGTACATCTTTATTTCCAAATCTTTCTGTGAGGAGTTTAACTGAAGTTTCGTAATTTTCTTCGGTTAAATCGAAACCGTCAATGGTGTTATAAAGCAGTACCTCCCAAAAAGGATTTCAAATAATTAAATTTGCTTATAGCGTCAAGCGTTTTATTTTGGTGTATGGCTGATGAAAAAGTGTTCCAAAATGTCAGCCATTCGCAGCTCTCGCCATAAAACTTCGGAATCGTAAGTTTAGGAAGCTTCACATTATGACTTTCGATTTTAACGTTTTCTATAATACTTTCACTTAACTGTTCAGTGCTTCTTAACACACTCAATTTTTGTTGTTCTGTATTAATTTCTTTCATTTTTTGTTAGCCTTGTATTTAAACGTAGTTATTCTTTCACGATTATATTCGTCAACACCGTTTAATTCCTGGTCTAGATCCTTTATGTCTATTAATTTTTCTATATCGGCATCTATTTGTTTTAACTCGTTCGATTTTTCATTTAAGAGTTCTAAGGAAATTTCTAGTTCCTCTGCATTCACTTCTGTTTTTGATAATTCAGTTTCGATTCGGCCAATTAATTTTGTAACGGCAGCCCTTATGTGGCCGCGTTTCCTTTTCAATGTATCGATGAATTCCGTCATTGTTTAATATTCAATAATTCAACAACTATCAGCAATTCACTAATTATTTATGCTTATGTATCATCTATATAACTGATATCAATTTAGACAGTTTCAATAGTTAGGAAAACAGCAGTTACTGGCAGTCCCTGTTCGGGCGCCATGTTAAAAATTTTATCAACTTTGTACTATTAAAATTTTTTGATCATTAAATAGATAAGTTCACTTACCTTCTAAATAGGGCTGCCCTGAACTGCCTTCTTTCCTTCTTGTCGGTATCCGTCTCTATGATGAACTTCGATTCACTGCGCAACACAGCTATAAACTTTTTGAGAAATTTTAATTCATATGAAAGATATCTACAAAATATTTACAAGTTATAATGATTACAAGCATAATTTATACGGAGACGGTCTATCGTTATACATCTGTTAGACGCGTCAGCCGTTCAACTGATTACTTTTAGTCTCTTTCGCCAGAGGGCATTCGTGGAAGTAAAGTTCTAGTAAGCAAACGCGATAATATATATTTGTATTTATTTCACTGCATGCATGAAATGTATTTAAATTTCTGAAATGAATTCAAAAGAAACCTTTATTCAAGCAGAAAAGAATTCATCCAGACTAGCTCATTGTTTTTGTAATGAGCATGTGGATCATTTCAATAAACATTTATGAAATGGTCTTCATTAGTGGAGCAATTCAAATAACTTAACAGCTTATTCATTGTCTAAATAAGTGACAATTAGCTAATCTAATTAAACAGTCACTTACAATCTAATTGAATAGTTAATCTAATTAAATAGTCACTTAAAATTACAGTTTGATTTTTATTATGGATTCACCAAACGTGAAATATCTTATGAACTGGTTCTGTGAAACTTGTGCAGATCAGCTGAATCTGACCAGCCGTAATGATTTGACCTGACCTTTTATAGAATATAAAGAGCAGTTTACAGCATTTCTGAAATAAGCCATGGCAATGCAATATGCAGAGTGCGTTTCTAACCCTTTCTGGGAAAAGCTTCAATTTTATTCACTTATTCATTATCCATTTGTTCAAATATATTCAGTTTCATTTCGATTGTAAATCATAAAGTTAAGATTTGTCTTGTATAAAATTTAAAAATTTGTAAGAAGCTTTGTCTCTTTACAGTTCTTAGATGTCTGACATTTACAATGATTTTATTGCTTTACTTCTTCATACTGCAGTAGCTTTAAGCTTTTTTTTTTTTTTTTTTTTTTTTTTTTCCCTCAGGTCTCTTTTTCTTGAAGTAGTTACTGTTTTCTTCAATAAACGTTCATCATACTGTTCTGATGCTAGCTCATGTATATCTCAAGCACATTTTTCATTATCCTTTTTACTTTTACAGGTTCCCTTGAAATGCACACAGCTTTTCTGTAACAAAGCCACTTTGAAAGCACTTGAAGTCCAAATCAATATGTTGAAATGTTATGCATTACTTTTAACATTGTTTTGAAATATATAGTTTAAACAGACTAAATTAATTTTAAGTATAAACTTATTTAAATTCAAACATCTGTAAAATTAATTTTTCAAAATCTGCTATGTCATAATAAATACTGAAAAATTAATTTTAAATTCTAAAATATATGCAAATTTTTTTAATGTTTTGTCACGGTTTAAAGAAATATAAAATCATCTGAAATTTGAGAATTAATTTTATCATTATAAATTAATAGATATTCTTAGGTATTGATATTTTCTCTTCTGATAGACTTGGCGGAACTTGGACTGAGTTTATCTTGCATAGTACAGTTGAATGTTATAATATGCTCATTATTTAATTTTTTTGTAATATTTCGCAGATAATTTTTACTGAAATATTTTTCCCCTTTTAAATCAGGTTTTGGATTAGTGTGTCACAGAGTTATCAAAGCTATTTGTGAAGTACTTGGTATAAAAGACTTATATGCAAAAGTTGAAGGTGCAGTGAAAAATTCTCAGTGTTTGACTAAAGCATTCTTTATTGGACTTATGACACAGGTCAGTTTGGCTAAGTAGTTCCTCATTTTAGTTAATTATTTATTTAGTTATTTCTTGTTTTCCAAATATTCTTGAATCTTTCAATCTTATTTTTAGTTAGTGTTAGTCCATATATCATTGTGCAAATGTGGGATCAGTGTAGAGGTGTCAAACAGGTGGCCCACGGGCTGCATGCACACTTCGAAGTAATTTTATGCTGCTCAGAAAGACATTTCAGTTATAGTGTTGCGAAGATTTCCAGAATTTTACCTGAAGTTTGATACTAATTTTTGCACTAGGAATAATTGCTTTGCTTGGGAATACATTTATGTGCAAACAGTGGTTCTTCACAGAAGGAAATTAGTAAGAAAAGAACATGATTGACTCATGAGCATCCACAATCCATGATGAAGGTGTTTCCTTGAAATTCCTCTCCAAGGCTCAAACTTTATTGAAATTGAAACATTACCAGTTATCAAACTATAGTAAGAAATAAAGAAGTCATGATTATTTACATGCAAATATATGCATTTTCATTTATGTTTCAAAGAAAAATTTAATAAATAAGAAAAAGAAATTAGGTTATTATTATTTATTCTTAAGTGTTTTCCCACTCGGCAAAATTTCTCTGAAAGCTTCTAAACTCTTCTGACCTCTCTGAAAAGTTTTTGTCTGTCTTAAATGTTATATCTTAAATACTGTAAATGATTTAATGTGTGCCTTTTTTTTTTTTTTTTTCAATGTTTCTTGACTAGCAAATTGCTTAATATCTTTAATTCATGGAATTTTGTTCATGAGATCTGCTATTCTGATTGCTTTAATAAATGTTTTGTGTACAGGAACTTTTATTTATATTTTGCAATTTCCACAGTTGTAAATGTATGTTCTGTTAAATATTTTTTTCTCCTTTATATAGAAAAGCTATAAGCAGATTGCTGATGAGAAAGGCTTACATGTTGTGGAATTCAAAAAGGAGCAGGACGATTTTCCTGTAGTTGTGGCATCACCTGAAAGATGCCGTACTGAAGAAGAAATTGAGCCCACTGAACAGCTTGACTTTAAACTCCATTTACATAATGGTAAAGTTGTGGCTGAGCGCAAAAAATATCAACCTTTTTACATAAACTTTCCTAGCTATATAAAAGAAATGAAAGATCGAGAAAAGTTACGTAATCAGCGTGCTGTACAAATTTATCAGTGTGCAAAGCATGGTGCCTTGAAAAGCTTTTTACATATAAGAGAAGAAGAAAAATTGAAACAGCAATTGAAGAATACTGTTGAAGAAACAGAGTGAAGTATTAAATCACAGTGAAATAGTTTTCCAAAGTTTATATTACTAACTATTGTGTTGTATGCATGTAGATTATAGTCTTCAAAAATAAAGAATTTTGCCTCTTCACAATTATTTTTTATTTATTAATAAAAAAGGTTTTTAAACATTTAAGTATAGTGAAAACAATTATTACATTATCTCGAATGGATCTGATAATTCAAAATTTTGTGTTAATTTATGTACTTTTTTAGGCAACCTCTACTCTCATTATTTTAGTGGCATATTTTTATGCTGTGTAAATTTTGAGTTTGTTTATTGTCACTTTTTAAAAATCTTTATCACTGATTTTTTTTTTGTTTTTGTTTGTTTACAAAAAAAATGTAGATTTTTATTTGATTAAAAATCATTTAATTAAAAATTGACATTAATCTGTGTGAACATGCTTGAGTAACTGAGACATATTTTACTGCACATTTTTCTCATTGCAGCAGACATTTTGTTTAACTACCTTTAGTATATGGATTTCAGAGTTCAGTTTTCAAGTTTTAACATTGATAATGTCTCACGTATATAAAAGTATTTGTGCATAATAAAAATTTTATTAACATAGAAATAACATATGTAGAGCAAGCAGTTGGTTTAAACATTATAAAATGATGGCTTTAGAGGTACTGCCCATGTATTACAGTTGCACATAAATATGATAAAAAAAATTTAAGATTCTAGGTTCAGAAATCTCAAGTTCTTAAAATTTATGGAACTAAATCTTGTCTTTTTTCAAGATCCTTTCTTCACCAACACATTTTATTTTCACTAATGCTTTTAAAAATCTCTGAAGCACTTCTGGAGTTTTTTTCTCAGTTCAGAGGTAACTGTATTTTATATTTCTGCTGTGTTCAAAAATTGATTTTTTTCATGAAAGAAGGATGGCAATGTAGTAGTAACAGTAGATGGTAACAGTAGCTCATTAATATAGGCATACTTTATAAAAGTAAGTTGTGTTCCTGCACAGAAAGCAAGTAGAAATTTCAAGGTCATGTTAATAAGTGTGTGGAAGAACAAATGGTCCTGTTTTGGCATGAAATTCAGAAAACATTAGTATTGTATTGTAACAGTACTCGTATCTTAAATAGATCCAAAGCTCCAGCCTCACCGATAATGAACAACAGAGATGGTGCATGATTTCTAAATAGAGTAACTGAAATTGTTGATAATATTCCTATTAAAAGGATTTCAAGATGCACAACATCTTTAATGTCTTAAAACATCTTTAATGTCATAAACATCTTTGCTGTGATCTTGATGAAATTTCTGCTTACAGAGAAGAACTTAGCAACTGATGTAACTGATGTCTGATTGCTTTCCATTTCAGACAAGAAACACTGCCTTTCATCTATTTTTGTGATTTTACTGAGAAACTGAACAGTGACTATGAGAATAGCACTCACAACATAATCAATCTAAAGTTCAGACCACGTAAAAATCGAATCATGCAGATTTTTCATGATAGATAGTTCGTTTTTTTGTTAATGGTGTATTCTTCAAGAGACTTGCTTTTAGTGTATAAAAGAATACTTCTGGCATCATCTTGCCTGTATTGTGATTTTGCAGAATTTTTGCTTGCATGAAGAAATGAGCATCTTCTGTATGACTGATGCCCATGAGAAAACATTTCAAAGCATCACTTTGCTGCCATTTTGATAGATTTTATGTGTGCTTAGAACTTCCCAACTTCGTACTAGCTAATATTATTTGCTTAATACTTCAAGTCTGAAATATCTTTTTTATCTCTTCTTGTGATTTTGCTAAAAAGCTGAGAATCGTTTTCAGCAGCAATTTCAAGATCACTTGATATTTTGCATTTATAGAGCTAGTTTACCTTTTTTCGTTATGCTTGTCACAATCAATTGGTAGACATTCTATGTCAGTTTCCAATTTAGTACATGATTCATTGCTGGCTCATGCAACTGCAGCAGCTTAAAATGATTTGTCTGTCCATATAAGGGATTTACCACTACATTCAACATTTTTGACATTTTCCTTGGGTTCATGGAAATATTAATGACAGTTGAAGAATTTCAAATTATTGTTATATATTGCCAAGAATGTTGTGCCTGCCAGATGGGATAGTGGTTAATGATGCTGACTGCCATACTGAGGGGCCCAGGTTCAAGTCCTGGAGAAAGCATGGATGTTCGTAAGTGTGTAAGTCTGTGTGGCAAGGGGGCACTCATAATGCATAGTGAGTTGAAACCCTCTTGCGAAGTTAGTGGTAGATCCTAGAACCAGCCCTTGGACTGGTATCCCTCAGAATACTATACTGGGGCAAAAAGACATCAGTATGCTAGATGCAGCAATACCTGAATTGCCTGTTAAATCACTTGATACTGTTACCTGAATACTGTTAAATCACATGATATAGAGGTGTTGGCCTAGCTTCTACCTGTACCTGTCAAAAATGTTGTTATATAGATTCCCTTGTATGTTTTGTAGATTTTGTATAGATGTTTATGTAAATTAGCACAGAAATTAATTTTCACAATTGCTCAACAAATTCCATTGTTCATATACTGCTGAGCCACAAAATAATTGATTGATCTGCCTGTATGCATCTTTGTGGACGTTTTAAAGGAAAATGCTTCATATTTATATTACACATGAGAGAAAAGAAAAACCGTGTAGTCTGTAACTGTCAGGAATAATGCTTAGGAAACTGCAAGTTTTTGTGACATGAGTCATTGATTAACCTTGTACTGGGAGAAGATGTGATTGCATGAAGGTATTATTACTCTGTGTTAAAGGATTAGGATCGAACTCAGTCAAATAATGGCTGTAGATCTGCTGCATATATACATTCTGTTATTTGGAAATAGCAGTATTTATATGTTACATGAGGTACAGCTATAACTGGCATATATCTTCTTAATAGAAGTAAGTAGTATATGTATAGAAACAGTGCTACTAAATTCAGTACTATTAACAATTTTAAATTAAAGTCTATTTGTAAAGTGTGATGATGCATATAACAGAAGTATCTAAAGAGAGATAAATTCTATTACTTTGCTAGAAACTTTAAAATCATCTCTAAATTCGTAGTATTGATATTTTCTCATTCTCCTTCTACTAACATCTTCAACTTTCTTTATTGTATTTTGTCAACAAAGGCTTGTAAAATATAATTTAGCAAAAATTTTTTTGGAGGGTGAGGTTGCCGAATTTGTGAGCAATTAATTTTTCTCTATCATGCACAATTTTTTGCAATGCATTCATTAAACAAACAATGGTTAAATCACATGAATGATGCTGTCAGGTCTCTTACTATTGCTGAGGCACAACTCAGTTGGAGTAAATACCTAAATTCGCTCTATATAGATGATAACTCCATTTGGAGATCTATTTCCAAGCACAAGAAATGCAGCACCTTTAAGTTCTTCAAATGACTCATAACACAGACTGAGTAAGCAGAATTTTTAGTTCAGCATCTGGGATGTCATTTTAGCACAAACAATATGCATGACACAGCAACAGACCACTTAGTTTCTGATTTTCTTTCAAATTACAGTACAAATCCGCACACAAACAATGTCATTCCGCCCTTCTGTCTTAAGTTACATTAACTATGTGAGGACCATAATGCCCAGACGGCCTTTTATTCAAATGACCACAACCCCCTGAAACGGCCAAATTTCTGATGTTTTCTTCTTTACCTAAGGTATGCAGTAGCAGGTGTAGTTTCCCCAAATGCATTTTATCAGTTTATTGCAGACAGCTTGTCCTGAAAGAATTTTTTTGTGGTTTGTTATCTTTATTTGTTATAAGTAAAAAGAATGTCATTTGAAATCTTCGCTCTTCTTTGTGTGTTAATGGATGGGGAGGAGAGAAAATTGCTGTGACTCTCGAAAACCATTTAGGGCAGTTAGGTATTTTAACATACAGGTTGGCGAATGCTTTTGTTTTCAAAGAGTTAAGAAACTTAAAGGCAGAAAGAGTCCAGAAATTGATCTTATCTCTAACAGAATAATGGCAATACTTTCCTGGAGCATGGAAGATGGCTACAATAATTCTAGTTCTTAAACCTGATAAACCAGCCATAGTTCCAGAATCATATTATCCAATAAATCTTCTACCACTCCATTACTAAAATCATGGAAGCAGTTATACTCATCAAAGTCAATGATTATTTGGATGCAAATTATATTATTATATCATATGAATTTGGAATGTAGAAGAACTTCCCACCAATTACAGACACCAACTAATTTTCACAATTACAATTATTATATTGAAATGATTTTGTAGGGTATGCAAGCCAGTTATGCCGAGGCCTTTTTCTTCATGTGGTCAAGACTTTTGATCGTGTCTGAACGGATGTATTCATCTACAAAATAAACAGTCTGGGCTTCATGGATTGCTTTACAAACATAATTATATCTTACTTGACAGGTAGACACTTTGTCATTCACATCTTCAGGTATGTATTCCACCTGCCGCTCTACTTTAACCGGTGTATCACAAGTATCCCTACTAGGACCCAGTCTATTTAATATTTAGGTGAACAGCATTCCCCGCACACCAACACCACATTTGTTGATGACACAGTGATCCTTCCTCAAAGTGCACTTTAGTCCAATATTTACAAAATCACATACAGCCATTGGAGACCCTGTTAAAGATTGGAAAATGTAAATCAAGATCAGCAAAATGGTGGCTATCTTATTCACAAAAGAAAAAGGAAGTTAATAAAGGATCTCAAATTTTATGGAGCTACTTTCTCCTGGGCTAAACAAGTCCCTTACCTTGGGGTGATCCTCACAAATTCTCTCTCATGGATCCCACACATTACATCTCTTATCCAGGAATTCTGACTCATAAAGCTAGATTAACTGCTCAAAATAGCATTTAATCTATTGATAATGAGTTATTTATTTATAAATCCATTCTTTGTCGCATGCAATGTTATGATTGTCCAGTCTGTTCTTATTCTTTTAAAATCAACTCAAACTCCTGCAAATAGTGTACTGAGGCAAATTACAATTCCATCTGGTGTATTTGTAACAAAAGGATATATGAAGAAGTAAAATTATTCAGCTGAGGACTTATTATCATCTAGCTAAACGCATTCACGAAAG